ACACACACACACACACACACACAAACACACACATACACTCTCTGCCCCGGACCAGGCCCCTGGCGGCCTGTCTGACGTGAAGGGCACCGCCCTCTCCGCGGTGCTCAAGGCGCTGCTCAACGAGACCAGGGAGAGCCTGCCCTACCTGGGGAAGGCCCCCGCAGGCGACGCCCTGGACAGCGTCGTGCCCGTCGTGCACGTGAGCGCGCGCTGGGCGCTTCCTCGCCTCGGCTGGCTGCATGTCCGTGTGGCGCTCGCACGAGGGGGCCGCTGGGTTATAGGCGTCTAGTGGGCTTGCTGTCTCTCGATTGGGCGAGGGCGGTGCCTGCCTTGGCTGTCGTGGCAGCACCCGTTCTCAACACCACCCCGGACGCCGCCCCGCCCCCGTCCCCACCCTCGTGCTGCGCCTCCAGTCGTACAAGTCCACGGGCATCATCGGCCTGCTGGCCAGCCCCGCCGCCTCAGGCGCGGCCGCCGCCGTCGACGCGCTGTCCTCGCGCTTCGAGGCCCTGGCCAAGGGCGTCTCCGAGCCGGCCCTCGCGGCCGCCAAGGCCGTCGCGCTCGGCGGCTACCGCGCAGCTACCGCCTCCAAGTCGGGCGCGGTCCAGGACCTCGCGCAGCAGCTGCTCGCGCGGGGCTCCGCGGACGCGGGGGCGTACGCGGCGGCGGTCGGCGCGCTGACGGCCAAGGATGTGGCGGGCGCCGCGGCGGCGCTGGTGAAGGGCGCGCCGACGCTGGTGGCGTCGGGGCCGCTGTCGGAGCTGCCGAAGTACGACGTCATCGCCAGGCGGTTCAGCTGACCTGGCACGCCTCGACCTGGCAGACCCCTTGCGAGCCGATGGAGCGCGGACGCATGCGGACGGCGTTTCGGCGTCGCGCCGCGGGTTGAGGGGCACGGCGCGTTTGCGTGGTAGGCTTGAAGAGAACGGGCGCGTCCCTCGTTCGTGGCGGCTTCCGAGCCGCGGCTTATGTGCACCACGGCGGTCCCCTGGCTTATATGCATGGCATGAAGTAGCATGGCGCGGTCCCCAGCCGCCCCCAGAGACGCGGGGCCGCCGCTGCGGCAGCTTGGCTGATTGCTGGGGCCTTGCCCCACGGCCCCCTCCCTCCAATGGTTGAGCACTGTAAACGATGGCAGTTCGGCGTTGAACGCGATCGAGTGACGTGGGGGATCACAGGGCGTCGGGGTCCCGCGCTTCAATTGCATCACGGCTGAGCCGCTGCCTCTTGACGGGCCCCTTGGCACCGGCTGCCGGCTAGGCTGCAGACGTGGCGAGCGCACAAGGGTGATTACAGGGCACGCGGGCTGCAGCGAGGGGGGTACGCGCTCCATGGCGGCTGCGCGGACAGGCGAAGCTGAACCAGTGCGCTGTTGCTTTGCAGACCAGATATTCGTTGCGTTAAATGGGATTTACAGGGGCACAGACAGGCAGAGGCCTTCATCACAACCGCGCACGACAAGAGGGGGGGCGGCGCTGCTAGGAGAGGCGCATGCAGCGGTCACAGCTGCCCACGCGGTGCGCCAATCGACGCTCCGCCCCGTGTTGAAGCCGCCGCCACAGGGTGTGAGGTGCCGTTACGCCAGCTGCAACTCACGCGGGTGCGACTGCGCAGCCGCGGCGGGGGGCGGCCGCTGTGGCGGCCGCCCCTCCCCATCCTCAAGCCCCTGCTGCTGCTGCTGCTGCTGCTGCTGCTGCTGCTGCTGCTGCTGCTGCCGCTGCCAGTGCATTTGCTGCCCGTTGCCTCCGCCGTTTGCTGCCGGCCGCTCCAGCTGGTCCTTCGCCTGCTGGCCCTGCTGCTGCTGCTGCTGCTGCTGCTGCTGCTGCTGGCGCTCCTGCTCCTGCTGCTGCTCCAGCAGCCGCTGCTGCAGGCGCTGCTGCCGCTCCAGCTGCACCTGCCGCTGGTGCTCCAGCTCCACCTCCCAAGGCGGGACGTCCACCACCGGCCGCGCCGGCTTGGGGGCTGCTCGGGGCGAGACGCGGCGCGGCGCGGGCAGCAGGAGCGGCTCGGGGGTCGGCGCAGCTTCGAGCACAAACGGAGCGCAACGCACGCACGCAGCAAGCAGTCCGTCCACACGCCATACAAGCGCGCGCGTGCACACACACACACACACACACACACCTTTGGGGTTCCCGGCCAGGTAGAAGTCCTGCAGCAGCTGGATGGCCGCCTCCGCAAACAGGCCCCCGCGCCGCTCAAAGCCGCCGCCGTGCTCCGGCAGCGGCGGGCCGTGGTACGTCCTGCCACAGCCAGGTTGTCGTGGGTGGAGGGCGGGTGGCGCTGGCTTTGAACTTTGGAAAGCCGCGCCGCCCCGCGGCACGGCGTGGCAGCGGCATGCGGGCTGCTGGATGGCACTCTGGGCAGGGCTGGGACCGAGGCAGCCGGGTCGGGCTACGTGCGGCGCCCCCGCAGCCGCCCCCTCACGCGGCCCGAACCCTGATAGCGGCTCTGTCCTCGGCCCCAACGCATCCCGCCGCGCCCCGCGCGCCGCACCTCGCCCCGCTGTCGCGCCCGCACTGCCCGCAGCCCTGCTCGTTGATCGCCAGGATGGACCCGCAGCCGCCAAACTTGTCGTTGGGGCAGCCGAAGTAGACGCGCCCCATGCCGACCAGCGAGAGCGCGCCCGCGCACATGATGCAGGGCTCGCAGGTCACGTACAGCTGGCAGCGGCGGAACTCCGCAGCCGCCAGGTCGCCGCCAGACTGGCGCAGCACCTCGTCAATCGCCTGGAACTCGGCGTGGCGCGTGGCCTGGTGGGGAGGGGGGGAGTGGGGTCGATGGCGGCAGCGGTGTCTGGCACGGTGTCGCACGGGGCTTGCGCGCCGGGGAAGGTCACTTGCGGGAGGCGCTGGCGGGCCGGGCGGCTCGCGGCGATCATGGCGGCGCGGGCTGCGGCGGGCGCGGCGAGCAAGATGGTCGGGGGATTGCGTGCGGGTCGGCGCGAGGGGGACGTAGCTGAGGGCAGGGGTGGGTGGGAGCCGCCCAACGGGAAGGGGGCTCACGTTTCTGAGCTCGTTCGTGAGGTTGAAGCCCTTAGCCACGATGACGTTGTCCCGGACAATGACACAGCTGGTGGGGCACGGGGCGGGACGGGACGCGCGCGCCCGGGGGTGGGAAGGGACAGGGGGTTGAAGAGTCGAGGACAGGGGGAGAGCTGTCGCAAATGCAGCTGATAGGGCCCGCCGGCGGTGTCGGCATGTCTGCATGCGAAGTTCATCACAGTGGCGCTGCAGACAGGTGCCTGTAAAGGCGATCATTTGGGTGTTTGTTGGAACTGACACCGGCCGCTCACCCCACAGGCACCTCCCGGCGATGCAGCGCGACCTTGGCCTGGTGGAGTGTGGGGCAAGGCAACGGCGGCGGCGACGGTCGGCATGTCACCAAACAGCAAGCGCACGGGGTAAACAGCAGGGGCGCGTTGTGCATCAAGTCGCCACGCGCACCCAGTGCGCAGCTTGAGCTGTGGAGCTGGCTGTACGATGCATGCTGCACCAGGGCAAGCCTTGGCGCCAAATAGGGCCTTGGTGTCGAAGGCTCGGGCCAAGGAGAGCAACAAGGCACATGGCAGGAGCAGCGCCGCCAGCTTTGGCGGGGGGACAGCTGCGCCGACGGCGCACCTGCTCGAGCGCCGCTCGCATAAAGTGCATCTCCTCTTGCGTCCACTCCTCGGCACCAATGGCTGTGTCTAGCCCGTCTACTTCCATGCTAGCGGGCTGCTCGGCGTCGAGCGCCATGGCTTCCTCTGGTGTTTGCCGCTGCTCTGGCTGCTCCTTTACCACGAGCGCTGGGGTTGTTGCCTTACTGGCCGCGTGGTACTGTTGTTGGAAGCATTTGCGTATCACGTTCGCCAGCAGCACAGTCCCAGCAAGCATGCAAAGGCAGCCTGATCAAGGGGTGCAACGAAGCTTGGCGTACGGTACGAGGAAAGCGATACGTAACTATAAACGACGTCTGGTGCGCTGCTTCTTTCTGTCTGGGACCCAACAGAACGGAGCGCGTGTCCCGCCGCTGTCCAGCGCAAACTGCTGGCAGCCGGCAACGGCACGGCTGGTGGCAGGTGGCAGTACCAAGTTTACGCGAGCCTCAAGTGGGAAACCCAAGCCTTGAGAGGAGTCAACAAAGCCGCCACCATCCAGGTCGAACCCGGTGTAATCACGCCGCATTCATGCTCCAGGTGACGGCAGTACGACAGCATCAGGCAGCCTCAGGCCCGCCGCGTGAAGTGGCCCAGCTGGCGCCTGCTGCGCCCCTCCTGCGCCGCTGGAACCCACCCGCTGCCCAAAGGGGCGCGCGCCCCACTGATCCCCGCCCTCCTGTGCATCAAGTGCACCCATCACCTCCCCCAGCCGCTTAAGATACGCCGCCTTGGCGCCGGCGCCGCATGATGCCGCAAGCGCAGCCCCGCCCCCAGCTGCACTTGCCTCGCGCCCCGACCAGGAGCGGCCGCCGCCAGCGGGCGCGGCCTCAGCCGCCGCCGCCGCCTCCTGCTCCAGCAAGCCTGCCTCAAACAGGAACGCCGCAAAGCACCCGCCGCGCCGCGGCGGCGCGCGTCCGCAGCTCTCCCCGTCCCTGCCCTCGCTGCTGCCATGCTCTGGCGCCTGCGCGACCTGCGGGTGTCCAGCATCGTCCCCAACCGCAATGTGATCGACGCCGCCGCCGCAAAGGAGCCGCCCGTCCTCCTGGCCAACCACCGCTGCTTGGGCCGGCTCGTCACCGTCTTTATATGTGGCGGTGCCCTCTGGACAGGTGTCACCTCCGGCGCCGCCGCTACCACC